TCCAGTCTGGGTGACCAAGTGAAACTCCAATTCAAAAAAAAAAAAAAAAAAAAATTTTTTTTTGAGTGAATTGCCTGTGCCCACAGGTTTGAGACTCGCCCGGGCAACTTGGCGAGACCTCATTTCTACAACAAATAAAAAACTAGCCAGGCGTGGTAGCGCGTGCCTGTAGTTCCTGCTACTCAGAAGGCTGAGTCAGAAGGATCATCGGAGCCCGTGGGTCAAGGCTGCGGTGGCCGGGAGCGGCCACTGCACTCCGGTCTGGGCGACAGAGTGAGACTCCAACTCAAAAAAAAAAAAAAAGAAAGAAAATAAATGTTAGGTCAGTCAGTGGGATAGGCTGGTGCTGCGGGTAAAATGTAAAGAATTTCACAGAAGTTAGATTAGAAAGATAGTTTATTGAGAAAACAGAAGAGCGAGGAGATTTACTTACCCAGATTGGGAAGGGGGTCAGAGCTTAACAAAAGCTTGACTGTTGCTGCTTGATGTTGAATGCTTTTTTTATTTTTGTTTTTTGTTTTTTTTCTTTTTTTACGTTGGAGTCTCACGCTGTTGCCCAGGTTGGAGTGCAGTGGTACACTCACTGTCACTGCAGCCTCGACCTGCTGGGCTCAAGTGATCCTTCTCCCTCAGCCTTCCAAGTAGCTGGAACTACAGGCACACACCACCACGTCTGGCTAATTTTTTAATTTATTGTAGAGATGAAGTCTTGCCAAGTTGCCTGGGCTGGTCTCGAACCTGGGTTCAGGCAATCCTCTCACCTCAGCCTCCCAGAGTGCTGGGATTATAGGTGTGAGCCACCGTGCCCAGCCTAAATGCTTTTTAAGGATTTCCTTTGGTGAGGGCAAGTCATTAAGGTGATTGGGTGGTCTGTTTTATGTCATCACCAAGGGGACAGGTAAGCACAGGAACTGACGTAAGGGTGATGGATGGCGGATGGATGGTTTAGTCACATAACTGTTGCCAGGGTGATGGGGTCTGTCTGTCTGTTCCTTCCCTGACAACTGGATGGATGGGTGGGCCAGCCACATAGAGAAGGGTGGGAAGGGTAGCTGAAAGACAAATTCTTAGGACAAAGATGTTCATCTTAAATGTCTTGTGACTTGCCCAGGTTCTGGGAAAGGATTATTATCTGACTTGAGGCCAGAGAAATTCCATTTTGGACTCTATCCTTTCAGAGAAACAGGATTGTGGGAGATGGGGAGAAGGAACAAGGATCTCCTCCTGGACTAGCTTGGCAATTTCAAGTAAACCACTCCAGGCCTCAGTTTCCCTATCTGTAACGGGAACAGATGATGCTGCACCAGTGGGGTGCGGTGGAAAACTTGTGGATTCTTTGACTCAACCCCAAAATGAATTTTAGAGTGGCCAGCAAAGTCTTAAAACAGTTTATTAGAGAAAGAAGAGGGAGGAAACAGACATGCCAGAGTTGGCACAGGCAAAAGCAAACCACCCTTTTTTACGAAATGCCTAATATCCCCATGTAGTGATTAATATGTTAATGAGCAGGTGAGGTTATCTGCTCCCCTCTCTTCACCTCTCATGGGTGGAGGGTGTGGTCTTTTTTCTTTTTTAGTTGAACTCTCACTCTTGTCACCCATGTTGGAATACAGTGGCACACTCACAGCCACTGCAGCCTCGACCTGCTGGTCTCAGGCGATCCTTCCACCCCAGCCTTCCAAGTAGCTGGAACTACAGACACACGCCACCACACCTGGCTAGTTTTTGTGATTTATTGTAGAGACAAGGTGTCACCACGTTGC